ATTAGTCAAGTTAGCAGATCACCTTCCTCCCTCGGCAATCCCAGACCTCTATACAAAGCCTCAAGCTCCTACTAAAGCAGGTTACAGGGCACCGCCCCAGCGCCGGTCAGCGTCGTTCTAGCGCCAACTCAACCTGGCCATTGCACAAAAAGGCTCAATTAGGAAATTAGCTAAGCTAGAATGCTAACTAGAAATCTAGGATCTGATAATATCATAATCCTGATAAAAAACCTTTCTGATGATGAAATTTGATGAGTACCCTGAGATGATCGCGAAATTGGTTGATAATGATGAGGATGCTGATGACTATTCCTCTCCAGCCCTCCCCCTCCTCCATGTGCTCTCCTCCTCTCCCCTCGTTTCCTGTTGTCCTCTTCTCCTCTCGCTGCCTCCGCTGATCTGAACCCCACTATCAGTATGAAGTTCCTATCAGCCCCAAGGCCCCCAACGAGAGAGATATCCTCCCCATTCCCTTCTGCCTTGAAGTAACCAGTTCCCCCAAAAGGTGTACCTCAAATCTGACACTCTGACCTAGTCTGCCTCCGCCAGGATATAATGTGCCCCATACATATCTCCCAGCCCCAGCCCAGGTCAGCTCCCATCATCTGCGTCTACTCCCTAGAGGGCAATCACCTCCCACCTTGTGTTACCCCTGCGGAGTAGAGCTCCCTTCCTGACCAACCTACCTACCAACTAGACCATAACCAATCTGGGCGAAGAGAATATAACCACCAATACAGAGATATCTACTGATTGATGGAAAAAAGAATAAAGAAACTTCAATGATGACGATGATGATGATGATGATGATAATGATGATGATGATGATGATGATGATGATGATGATGAAATAAAATTGGCGAGAAATAAATAAGGAACGTTTGAACTTGCGATACCCTAATGGCACCGGTGTGGAAGATTGACAGCACTATTGCTGTAATAATAAAAGAAGATGACAGTGATTAGTAGGAAGATAATGGCCAGTGAAGATGATGACCCATTGACCCGTAATGAAGAATTATGAATTAATACACTTTAGTATGAACGACTCCGGATGATGATTCCCCGCAGAGATGACAATGATGATAATTTTGATGCTCTTGATGGATAACCTGCACAAGATAAACAATAAAAAAAACAAAAATGAGCAGCTCCCTTGATGACGACTCCTTGATGATCTTCCTCGTGAGAATGCGGGCCAGCGTTGTGATGACGTAGACAAGCGAAGTCCAACGCACTTCGGTCTCCATGGGGAGAACTCCACTTTCTTCCACCGACATTGGCATTGCACCAACTCGCTTGAGCATTACAGCCTCCTAAAGGGGCGTTAGCTGTGGAGTACTTCGTGTGGAAGTCACAAAGAGACTGTTCGAGCAGCGGTCACCGCCACTACTCTCCCTCCGCCACTGTGACTTAGACCAGATGCCTCGTCAGCCTGTGACGTGGCTTGGCCTAGTGCTCTGGTTTCCGCGCGTGCATTAAGCACTCACTCTGACCACTTCACCACTTCTGCCGTATACCACTCACGCAGCTTTTGGGTGCTCATGCCACATCAGCGCTCGCATCTCCCACCAGCAGCCAGCAACCCGCCTAGTGCTAGCCACCAGCGCCTCGCCACATGTGAAAAGCCAGCGCCCCGCTACTTGCTTGTGACCAGCGCCTCGCCACCCGTAGGAAGCCAGCGCCTCGCCGTCCATCCGTGGCCAGCGCCTCGCCACTTCCACGCCGCCTTTGCCTCACCAGTTGCTTGCTGCCATAGCAGCATCGTAGGCGCACGCACCCATGCAGCGCTAGCAGCATCGTAGGCGCACACACCCATGCAGCGCTAAGTCGCGCTCAGGGCCTCGCCACCACATTGGAGATATCTCTCTCACGAAAGCATCATGCCACACTCTTCTCATTTTTTTCTTTCCCCATCTTCTTTGATCGTGTCTCTAATCTGGTCGAAGACGTACAGTGCTCTTGATGTACTTGTGATATGGCATTATGATCGTTGTGTTCCCCTGGTTTTCCGGCATTGCGCTTTGTGCTTAAGCTCTGCGCCTGGTTGCTTTGTGTCATCAGGCCTAGACCTGACACGTAGCCCTCTTTTTTTTTTTCCCCTCACTACAATTCTTTCTTTCACTCTCTGCCACTGACAAGTTGTGACAACGGATGGCAGCAAAGCAAGTACCTGTTGCCTTTCAAAAAAAAAAAGAAGAAGAAAAATGTACCTGCTGCCTTTGCTGCTGCTGCTTTTCCACACAGTGAACTATCTTCTCCAGATGGCTCCACAACACTTCCTCCTCAAGGGGAAGAATCTGCTCAAGCAGATCCTGGAATAAGAAAGACAGCATACAAACACACAAGTGATGATGTCAAAAGTCATGCATTGCCAAGGAATGGCTGGACTAGTATCGTCTCTTGTTTCTTTGCCCCTTTCTTCCAACGAGCAGTGGTGCTGAGTACTTGTATTGTTTCTTAGTTGTTTGTCCCTTTCTTCCAACCATGAGCAGTAGTACTGAGTACTGGCACACAGTAGTACCATTCTTTTCCCTGGTCCAGAAGTTGGCAGGTCTGAATTGGTGTATAATCTTGTCTATCTGTTTTTGCCTTCATTGAAGTCTCTCCCCTCACAAGGCAAGGCTGGCAACAGCCAACGGAAAAAAGTAGGAGCTGCACCAGCAGAAGGGGTTATTGGGCACCATGACCTCGTCTCAGACCCTACTAATACGGACCAGGGGG